CCGGGACGACCCTGATCATGCGTCCGACAATGTAGGGTTTCTGGGGGAAATGCCAATAAATGCTTTTAGTGGAGTTTGGGGGCGTCCACATGAACAGTGGAGCCGCAGCCACCACCCGTCACGGTGCATTGACATACTTCGACCATGCAAGCAGAAGCCCGGATTTCTCCAGACGATCGAAACTGTAGCCCTAATTGGGTTTAGGGTTCAGGGTTTAGCGTAGGGTTTAAGGTTTAGGGTTTGACGCACACCCCAAACCCACAAAATGTCGGAAAACCCAACACGCCTTCGACAAGGCACCCATCAGTACACTCCGCCTTCTGAGGGTTCCGGCAGGTTCCGAAAGCCACAACAAGACGCATGTTTGACCGGCGTTCCGGAACACCCCTTGAAAACGATCACCCTCCTGGCCCACTGCGGCCTCGGCGATGTAGACCTCGGAGCAAGTCCCTGTCTGTGCCCACTTAAACCTGGGGCTTCCTGGACTCTCCTCGCCCTTCGAATTTCACAGCCGAGGAATCGACATCCATTTAGCTGCAAGCTTGGACACGGCTTTTTGATGAACGGCTTGCTTGGAAAACGAATTGCTATGTGGCCAGGACTGTTCACGGTATGGGATGTTTAGTGTGCACATGGTCGATTGGCCCGGCGTTGAGCGCTTGGTCGCAGTAGCTGAATTTTGAAGCTTGTCAACCACCACGACGACGATGCCGCCGCCGCCACATGCTTCGGACTTTGTTCTGCTCATGTGGCCCTGAAAATGCTAGTGATTAGTAGCTGCCACTGTACAGGCTGACGGACTCGACTCAGTGCCCAGCCGCAGCTGCAAGCGGGTGGACGGCGCCCGCTCACCTCATCCATGCTCAAATGTGCTACTAAAGTTGAACCGGTTTAGTGTCCCACTGATCTCGATTGAAGACCTATATGGGCAAAGTTTATATTCGTAGATACTGTAATTGACAGGTCATGCTCAGAAAGAGCTACAGCGAAGCTGCCACAAATGCGATTCCGAGATCGCGATCCATATGTGTAAACATGTTTCGGGCCTTTGAAAGCAATAAGTGTATGTATACAAACGGATCTGCATAAGTGTTCTACATCGAATACACATGGTATGAGTATGTCTGTATGTATATGTATGTATGTATGTATGTATGTATGTATGCGTACAGACATGCATAGAATGTATGTGTGCATATATGTGTACATGTATAGCATACACACGCATTTGGATATGAATATATATATATATATACACATATCTCTGTATATGTATATATATATATATGCGTACACGCGTATGAACCCATGAGTGTACCTAGATGCACCTCTTTATGTACACAGTAGTATATTCGTATATTTGTATACTAACACCCGTACACTTGTGCGCATGCATATGCAACGGATATGTATGCATGCGCACGAGCACGTGCATGTGTACGTATGTGTATCTTGATATCTATGCATGTCTGTGTGTGCGCTGTATGAACATGTTATACAGATATGTGTACGTGTGTGTGTGTGTGTTAATGTATGTGTTGACAGTTGTATGTGTATTTTCCTATGTCTATGTGTGCGCATGTCTATTTGTATGTCTTTGTATTCGTATGTGTACATATGATTGCATGGATATAATTACATGAAGGCGTACAGGTATGTATATTTTTGCATGCTCATGCACGTGTGCAAGAATGACAAGCTTGGAAGTATGCATGTCTGCCTGTCGCTGCCTGACTGTTGTGCCATGCATATATACATGCGTAACCGTACATATATATATATATATACGTATGTAGTATAGAAAGAGATATATACATAGTTGTTTTACATCATTCTGTTTATCTAATTATGTTTTAACTTCTTGTGCGTATTCTACGTATTTACATGTTTGCATATATTCACATGCATACATATATAAAGACAGAGCTGGATGTTTGTATCATTCTTAGTATATCCAGATTCATGCCGTGTGCGTGCAATGGAAGACCAAGTGCTATGGCATCTTGACATCTGCAGCCAGGTGACTGAGGCGACGGGCCGCACGGGCTGCAGTCATTGCCTCGCGTGCAGCCGCACCTCAGCAACTCAGACACTGTTGGCGATGTTGGTTCGGGTCGGCAGGCAGATGCGTTGGCCCAAGTATGTTGGCATGCTGCTCGGACATCCTCAGACATTAAACCTAGATTCTTAGATCAGCACCACACAAAGACCAACTGTTACAACAGAAGGTGCTGCGTCAAATGCACTCGCAGGACAGCGTGAAACTAGCAAGCTCCTGTGCGGTACGTCACCCACTACGAGATTAAGATTCGG